ATCATGGGGTTGCTTGGCTATTTGTTATACAGTGGTACCTCTACTTACGAATGCTTCATCTTACGAAAAATTCAACTTACGAAATGCGCCTACAGATAATTTTTGCTTCAACTTATGAAATTGTTCTACTTACGAAATTGACTGGAAGGAGCTGCTTTTTGAATTTCGTGGCATGCTATTGGTTAGTGAAATCTGGCAAAGCAGCACTCTATTGGCTAGAGAACCAGGAAGTGTTTGCCTAGTGAAACTGTTAGGTAGCATTGTCTGGGCTTGCATGAGAGGAGAGGAAGTGTGTTTTTCTTTTCAATTGGGTGTGTTTGGATGACTCCTCCTCCTCCTCCTCCCTCCTCCCTCCCTCACTGTTGCCATTGCACAGCCGGCTGACCCAAAAGGTAAATGAAACTTTTTTATTTTTATTTTTTATTCTTTGGATTAGTCCTGCAACTCATTTTTATGTTTTTTTGTTCTTTAAGGGTAATGTAACATGTTTGTATTAGAGGTATTTAACGAAATAACCCTGTGTATTATACATTTGTATTGAGTTGTAGCTTGAATTTGGGGGCCTGGAACGGATTAGGCATTTTCAATGTTAAATTTGCTTCTACTTACGAAATTTTCTACTTAAGAAATGGGCTGTGGAACGGATTAATTTCGTAAGTAGAGGTACCACTGTATAGGGTGGGTATCATGGTTTTAGTGTAGTTTTAATGTTTATAATTTTATATTGTTTTAGATGCAATTTTAACTGTTTTATTGTAATATGTTTTTAGAATTTTTACTTGTGAGCCGCCTTGGGTCTCCTCTGGGGAGAAAGATGGGATATAAAATAAATAAATAAATAAACAAACACACACCTTTGCTACTCTTTTAACCACCAAAACTATGCGGTTAAAGGCTGCTTAACGGATAATGACTCTATGTTTACCAATCTCAGGAAGAGTGTGCAGCCTTAGTGACCAACCATTTATAGACATTTAAATCCCTATTATGTTCTCCCTTCATAGGGTAGCCAGCTGCTCACCCCTGTTTCTCATTTAACTGTCATTGTACTTATTCTAAAGCTTTTATTGCCAGGTGACAGTGACTTGTCTGGATTTTACTCTAAACTTTAAAGGAGGCAATCATGATGTGGAACACTATTCCCCCACTCCAAGGTTCAGCACTTTGGACAGTTATTTTAAAGTTCAGATTGTATCCAGAGCAGATATTCCAGCCCACTGACATGGCAGCTACTAGCTGTGAGTGTTTCATAGAAATTAAGTTCTCTTTCAACACTGCCAACAATGCTTTAGCAATCTCAAGCACATGCAGAGATATGATGATAGCCCTGTTTAAATATTTGAAGGGATGTCATATTGAGGATGGAGTAAGTTTGTTTTCTGCTGCTCCAGAGAACAGGACCCAGAGCAATGGATTCAAACTACAGGAAAAGAGATTCCACCTCAATATTAGGAAGAACTTCCTGACAGTAGGAGCTCTTCAACAGTGGAACACACTCCCTCAGAGGGTGGTGGAGTCTCCTTCTTTGGAGGTCTTTAAACAGAGTCTGGATGGTCATGTGTCGGAGATGCTTTTATTGGGAGTTCCTGCATGGCAGCGGGTTGGACTGGACGGCCCTTGAGATCTTTCCAACTCTATAATTCTATGATATGCGCACCCTTTTGAATATTGTGTGGCTAAAAGCTGCATGATGGGAGCCAAGAGACCATGCCACTCCTGAGAGAGTCTCAGGAGTGGCACTCCCACTCCTGCACCCACTGAAAGACAGGTTAGCTCCAACATAACACATGGCACAGTCACATGCATCTCAACTGCATGTACAGGAGGAAATGCTTTCCACACATTCATCTGTCATAGAAAATAACTTTATGCAGCATTTGCACAAAGCACTTCTACACACCTTGTATGGTAGATCTTTAGCCACCTACAGAATAGGGGACATGAGCCAATCTAGGTCCTCCTTTGTATGCTCTATGCACATGCACAGAGAGAGGCCTTTCCTGTGGCAGCTGAATGCCCAAATGAATGAGAAATGTTTTTGCCATAAGTGGTAGGAACAGGGTGGCATAGCCAGGGCATGCCTGAGTGTCAGAGCTAGGTTGGGTAGTCCTGAAATGCCTCTGCATGCCTTCAATGCAGGGGAGATACTGTGTAAACCTTCCTTAAAATCCACTAAGCAAGCCATTTGCAATCTCAGCACTCTCATCTGCAGTATGGGGATAATATTACAAGCCTGCCTTACAGTGGATTACAGAAAGATAATATACATGAAGCAAACTAGTGTTTGTGTTTGTTTTTGTGTGTCTTCAACAACTTGAAACAGGGTTTTCTGGGACTGAGAGTGTCAAGGTCACCCACTGCGTTTCCATAGCTGAGTGAGAAATTGAATCCTGATCTCCAGAGTCATAGTCCAATGTCCAAACTACTACACACACTGGCTCCCAGTGTTTAAGCAGTAATATTTAAGTATTAGTGGAGTCACAAGTATTTAAATACTAGTATTTAAGTACTAGTAGATACTATATTTAACCACCAAAAGACACAGCAATAGCCCCTAACAGATTATTTTAAAAGAGGATATAAGGCAGTTTTATGGATTATCTTTGGCTCTTTTGCATGATGGAAATAAGCAATGTCCAAATTCAGAGGGCAGATTATGTTTCTGTTCAGGGTGTTGGACCTCTAGTCTCATCCAGCAGGGCTCTTCTTGCTAGGTTCAAGTCCACAATGAGTCATGAAACCTAGTTGGGCATGTTGGGCCATCATTATTCTTCAGCCTGACCTACCTCACAGGGTCATCATGTAGATAAAGTGGGAGAAGGGAAGAACCACATACGAAGAACTCACTGGAAGAAAGGGAGGTTATAAAAGCAACTAATAAACAGATAGTAGTATTGTGAGTCCTTGAGACCTAGTATGGTGCAGTGATTTGTTTGATTATGTCTCTGGAGGCCAGGGGTCAAATCCCCGCTTAGCCATGGAAATAATGTTTGGCGAGTTACACTCTCTCAGCCTGAGAGGAAAGCAAAAGCAAACCCTCTGAAGTCTGAACAAATCCTGCCAAGAAAACTTTCTCATAGGTTCACCTTAGAGTTACCACGTCTGAAATGACTTAATGGCACACAACCAAGTATTGTGAGTGGTAGTTGGTAAATTCCATTTCACTTCTGATACTGTGATGTCAGAACAAAAGGGGTGGTAGGTTTGGGGTTTTTGTCCTCAGAGAACAGGGACCTGTTATACTTCCCATGCCCAAATCTCTATATAAGTCATCCCTGTTCTGTACCTTAATTCCAAATACACAAATTGTGTAAGTCTATCATAGCAAAGAACAATGAAGCGTCTTGAGCCACACTCTGTACATGTGTTAATAATGTACACCAGGGACCGGCAACCTACGGCCTGTGGGCTGGTTAAGGCCCAGGTCCCCGTACTTACTGGGCCAGGCGGAAGGCTGCCGCCGCCACCGCCACCGCACGTTTTTGCCACTGTGTGGCTGCGCGCGCCATTTTGATTTTCAAAATGGTGGCTGCGATGCGTTTGCACATGCACAGGAGTACCACAAGCGGCAGTGTGTGCAGGGGGTTGTGCATGCAGGAGTGTGTGCGCGCGTGCGCGCGTGAGCCGCCATTCCCCCCCGCCTTTGGCCCAGCGGTGGAAAGGACTTTGCAGGACCGGCCCCTGATTCAAAAAGGTTGCCTACGCTTGATGTACACTGTACATCACTACATCAATACAACTATATCTTTGCATCAACCAGCAAATGACCTCTATAAAAGAGATCATTATCACTACCCATAAGGGGTGGGTGGGACAGAATACTTTTTTAGACTACAACTCCCTGAATCTCCCAACCAATGGCCATGCTCATGGGGGAACATAGGAGTTGTAGTCCAAAAAAAGCAACTTTCTCAGGTTCTGGTCTCTACGCTTTCTGCATTCTAACCCTCACCCCCTTACTATTTTCTCTTAACTTAAAGACATGTTCAGTGAAGAAGACTGTGGTCTCCAAAAGCTTGTGGTCATAATGAATCCATTATCTTTGAAGTATTCCAAGTTTCTCCATTGTTTTTCCTAAATAATAATTTTGTTGCTAACTGCCCTCAAGTCGAACTTGACTCATGGTGGCCCTGTGGCTGAGACATCTCCAAGACCCCCTGTCCTCCACCGCTCTGCTCAGGTCCTCCAAATTCAGACCCCATGACCTCCGTGACTGAGTCCATGCTTCTGACTTGTGGTGGTCTTCTTCTCTTTCTACTGCCTTCTACCCTTCCCAGCATTACCTTCTTTTCTAGTGAGTCATGCTTTCTCATGATCTGGCTAAAGTACAAGTTTCAATTTTGTCACCCTGGCTTCCAGGGAGAGTTCAGGCTTGATCTGTCCAAGGATCCATTTGTGTGTCTTTTTGGCTGTCTTCTCCAGCACTACATCTCAAATGAATTGATTTTCTTCCTATCCACTTTTTTAACTGTCCAGCTCTCTCATCTCTACATGGTAACTGGGTGACTTATACAGGTAATTCCCAATTACCTGTCCACTTTATCTGGAAAAGACAGCAATGCTATGAAAGGTGGAGGGAAGCAGAAAGAGAGGAAGATGGAAAACTGGAGGGATAGATTCAATTAAGGCAGGGGTAGGCAACCTTTTTGAGCCAGGGGCCGGGTTGCTGTCCCTCAGACAATTGGGGGGCCGAAGCACCAAAATAAATAAATAAATAAATAAATAAAAATTAAAATTAAAATTTAAAAAAATATGCATGCACACTCTCTCAGCCCCAGAAAAGCCATGGCAAAACCCCTGTGGAGATTTTGCCAAGAAAACCCCAAGAACAAGTAATAACAACAATAATCAATATTATTATGGCGGGCGGCGGCAGTGGCGGCAGAACCGGCCTGGGGCCGGTCCAAAGGCCTCAGGGGGCCGCATCCGGCCCCTGGGCCTTAGGTTGCCTACCCCTGAATTAAGGGGTTATAAGTAAGATTTTACAGGACCTAAATAGAGCCAGTGTGGCGAAGTAGTTTGGGTGTTGAACTAAGACTCTGGAGACCAGGGTTCAATTCCCAGCTTGGCCGTGAAACCCACTGGGTGACCTTGGACAAGTCACATTCTCTCAGCCTCAGGGAAAGGCAATGGCAAACCTCCTCTGAACAAATCGTGCCAAGAAAACCCCACGATAGGTTCACCTTAGGGTCACCATAAGTCGGAAATGACTTGAAGGCACACAAAAACAAGAAACAGAGCAGTGGAGGACAGAGGCTTTTGGAGATGTCTCATCCATAGGGTCACCATGAGTCGCGGTCGACTTGAGGGCAGTTCACACAACAACAACAACAACTGCTTTATTGTCCAGCTCTCACATCAGTACATGGAGATGGGGAATACAATGGCTGATGATGATGATGATGATGATGATAATAATAATAATAATAATAGTAATAATAATGGTGGTAGCAAGTTTAGTGTAGTGGTTCATCGCCTGCCAACTTATAATAACCCCATGAATGCCACCATTTTTTAAAGGCAAGGAATAGATTAATAAATGTAAAGGTATATCAATGAACACTAAAATTAGGATGATACAAGCCATCATGGTGATGATGATGATGATGATGATGATTTTATAGCTCACTCTTCAGAAATTTTGTCAGAGCGGCTAACAAACTGGTAATTAGACTAGGGTCGAAAACACAGTACAGAAATAATCCAGTCTGAGACTGCTTTAACTGCCCTGGCTCAATGCTAGGGAATCCTGGGACCTGTAGTTTTGTGAGACATTGAGAGTTCTCTGTCAGAGACAGCTCTGGTGCTACAACAAACTACAATTCCCAGGATTCCCTAGGGCAGTTAAAGCGGTCTCAAACTGGATCCTTTCTGCAGTGTGTTTTGGACCTAGTGTTTGGAGAGCTTGGGTTTGATTCCCAGCTCAGCCATGACCTTGGGCAAGTCACACTCTCTCAGCCTCAGGGGAAGAAGGCAATGGCAAACACCTTCTCTGAAGAAACCTTGCCAAGAAAACTCCATGATCGGTTCACAGCTTTAGGGTGGCCATCAGTTGGAAATGACATGAAGGCACATAACAACAACAACAACAACAACAACAACATAAAACCCCACTAGGCAACCTTAGGCAAGTCACACTCTCTCAGCCTTCTCTGAAGGAACCTTGCCAAGAAAACTCCCTGAACCCTAAAGTTCACCGCCTTCGGGTTGCCATAAGTGGGAAAGGACTTGAAGGCACACAACAACAACAACAACAACAACAACAACATAACAAACAACAACAATAATAGTCCCCTCCCTTCCTCCCCGGCCCCACTTTGCCCCCCACCTCCTTCAGCCCCCCAAAGGGCTCACCGGCCACCCGCCGCTGGCCCAGGAGCCATGAATGCGAAGCAAATCCGGAATCGATTCGGAATCGCACTCGGCGACGCGGAGAACGAAGTCCAGACTACTCCCAGGTTCTGACTCCGGCGGGCGATTAATATTCATTACCTCTCTTCAATATTCATGAGCGCGCGCGACCCACAGGCAGCAACCGCTTCTTCTTGCCTTCATAGAATCCCTGCAACAGATGAGAGAGACAGAGACAGAAAGAGAGAGAGCGGCCACCGCCGGGGGGCATAGAGTTGTGAAAGTTCGGCTAGAGCGACCAACTCAGAGGAGGAAAGGAGAAGCCTGGTTGGATGTCTGGGGCGGAGACCTCAAGTAAGACCAGCCTTTTCTCTCTTTCGCAACTAAAGAGTTCGGAATAGGAAGTCGGATATTTTCCGCTGTTGTTTTCTAACTCTATGGCTAACCAAGAGAGAGGGGAACCCTGTTCTGCCTAAGAGGATGCGCCACTCTCCGCGGATTTAGTGTAGACGTCAGGTTCCCTTTCGCAGTTTATAGCGTCCGCCATGTGCGTGGACAAGAGGGGAACCACAGAATTATTATTTTTTAAAAATATTTTTATTGATAATATAATCTCACTATAATATGATAAGGAGAAGAAGAATTGATGAAATAATAATCTGGATATAAGTGTATGGATTCAAACGCAGAAGAGAGAGTTATAAATTAGAATGAACTAACCTATGTTGGACTCAGGATGTTTTAATTGTTTTATTTGTTATGATGGGTTTTGTATTTGCTTTGATGGGTTTTGTATATGTGTATGTATTAATGTGGTTTTTTTATATGTTTATCTTATTAAATAAATAAAAATATTTTATTAGTCCTTATTAAATATTTAAAATAAACATTTTTTTAAAAAGACACAATAAAAAAAACAAGTAATAGACATCTGCTTTACATTTGCGTTCTTTACTATCCATCCCGTCCATATAAATTACCTTAACTTCCAGTGCTAACAATACTTAGTGTTACAACAAATTATCTCAAACCGTTCCTAAATTGCATCAGAACAAAGGGCCTTTACAGACTGCCAGAAATAATGCAACCTGAGTCCAC